CCTGCTGAGCTAACAGTGGGTCACAACTCAAAATGTTACTCCCCTACTTCTCAGCCAGTGTGTTTCTCTATATTTGCTTGTACTCAAAGTACCTGAAAGTTTTCCATATCTAACAGTACAGATGATAATAATTTGCATGATAGAGAGACTGGATGAAAACACTGTTGTAGGTAAATGTGTCCCCATTGAACAGGATGGATTTTACAGCTTGGCTCCTGCTGGGAACTCCTACCAGGCTGTGTCCCATCCAGAGGGAGGTAACCAGTTACCCAGCTGTGGTTTGGATGCTAGTTGGCACTCAGACCTTCTGGGTAGCACGTGGTGGAGCAGAGACAGACAGAGAGATGGGGCAAAAGTTGTCCAGAGCTCAGTCCAGTGAAAATATTACTTTTTATTAGTGTTAAATCCCTACTAAAGGTAAGCATTTTTCATAAGGCTTTTCCCCATCGGAATGCGGGCAAACAGGAGCAGAGCAGTTATGGTTGGCGAGTGATGTGCGCTTTGGATGAGGATGCTTTCCAGCAATCTGACAGAAGCTGTGGGACTTTCTGCAGCCATCCAGCACCGCAGCCTGTGCTTCCCCACCGTCTCTATCACGGGGTCGAAGTCAAGGTGTAAACACAGTGCAGCAATTATGTTCACCTGTATTTGGCTCGAGCTACTGAAATTGGGGTACGACTGTGAAGTCTGAGCCCATAAAATGCTGAATGCTGGCAGCTGCCACTGTCTTCCAGGGAGTTATTTGTAGGGGAAAGGATGCAGGATCCATCCCTGGTAATAAAAGATTTATTTCTGAGCCCACCTGCGATGCCCACAGCATTCGTGTAGTGCCTGTTCAAACATGCCAGATGGATCAGGAGCTTTTCCTTGTGACCAGGAGACATGGGATCTCTGCAGAGGTGAGGCTGATGGAGTTGTGACCAGGGAGGGCACACGTTTGAGAGCAGCAGCGTAATTGAGACTCACCAATGTTATTTCTCCTCCCAGCTACTTATGGGGTGATCGGGAGCTTGCAAGCAGCGGCATGATGACAGCCTGAATGGTCTCATCCAGCCTTTCCGCTGCTCCACACAGCTAGCCAAACGCTCAGACGTACTTCGGATAACGGGGTTGTAATTTTGCCTCTGTGCAGGAAGGGCAATAGATATCTCTCCACATTATGTATCTGCTTAGATCACAGACGTATTATCTCTAATTTCTCTGAGGTTCATCTGTACATGGTAAGGGAGGGAGGGAGAGAGGGAGCCTGTGGCTGCATTGCTGTGACAGGCATCCGAGCGCAGGGTACTGCCACTCTCCTATGGTGAAGCCATAGGAAGTGTTTCATGATTCAAGATAAGAAAGACCTTCACTTCCTCCTTCTGCACTTGTGGGGGTGAGCTGCCACCGAGGCGCTGCACCGTCCACCCAGACAGTGCGCTGGCAAAATGGACCAGGAAACCCTGGGAAGCATTGTCCTGCTCGCCATCGTCACCTTGATAAGCGTTGTCCAGAACGGTAAGGCAAAAATAAGCATTTGTTTAAGGGCTAAAACGGAGCTGAGAAAAGTTTGGTATGATGTACACTGATCTGATCCTTGGAAAGGCAATCTGTGATTATAAGTGTGTGTGTGCTTAGGCATGACTTTGGCTTTAGAAACAATCTTCTAAGCATGCAATTTTGCACCTGTTGCTGCAGTATCTTGGCAGTTGCGTGGTCCTACTCTGTGATATTCTAGAGTAAGTTTGTTGTACATATGTCAGCTAATGAAAGGACTAATATGCTGGTGTACCCTGTGTCAATATGCATTTAGATTTGATGACTGGCACCTGCTTTGCTGGCTAAAGTCCCTGATGTGGGCAGCCAGGGCTGCTCTCCAGCCACAACCCTGCTGCCACGAGCAGGGGCCAGGGACTCAGGGGGCTGCGATGGCTCAGACCTTCGCACAGGGCTGGGTGAAGGGAACAAAACTGCACTGACCCGTCGGAGGAGTCTACTGGGGTTGTTTGTGGGCAGGCAGGTCTTCTCTTTCCTCCATCTCCATGTCCTACAATCCAACTGATCTTAATTAGCTGTGGTCCCAAGAACACTGCGTGTTTCCTGCAATGGAGAAGTTTCCTTTTTTAGCTCTTATTCAGACCTCTATAGTCCCTACTGTTCTTCAGGGTTTTTAAAATGAAACAACAAGTTGCTCTCTTGTATGCCTCTGGTTTTAACTTGGTCATTGTCTCTTACAAATACTTAACCTTTTTAGCAGGAAATTCTGCCCAGAATATAGAAAAGGGAGTGAGTTTTGCCACAGCTACGCTGATATTGTCCAGGTTCAAGGGTAGTCGGCAGTGGGATGGGGGGCTGATGCAAACCCTCGAAATCT